TGTCTTTGTACAAAAGGAAAAACTGCCGAAGCCATAATTAATACACAAATCCATTAATGTATAACAAAGTTACAATTTCACCCCATAGGTTTAGTGTTTGGAGGACTCATTTCTATAATATTTATTTTTCCCAGGATTTTTATGTAAATTTTTTAAAATTTTCCTTTAATTTCTTTTCTAATTTTTTTTTTAATTTTTTATAATATTTTTTATTTATCTGTTGCAAATAATTTTTTTTTCCTTTCAATAAAATTTCCTTTAATTTCTTTTCTATTTTTTAAAATTTTCTATATTTTTTATTTATGTTTGTAATATTTTTTTTCTGCTTTCTACGCTCGTTTCGAATAACACACCTAGAGAAACGCTAAAGGGAATATCGTCAATGTAAATCAATATACTTTGTGGCACTTCGCCACAGGAGTACCGCCTTTAATAGAATTTTTTCAGTTTCAATAAAATCAAAGTGTGTAGAGTATGTGGAGTGTCATTAAGTTACAAATAAGCATGACGTTTCTACTTTTCCTCTCACTTTCATTGACTCACATTCACTTCATGTATTCGATTTTCCATTACTTGCAATACATGCAATGTACACTGAACAGAACTCCAGTGGAACTAACAGTGGAGTTACCTTTGCTGCAATGTAAATGAGTTAGAGTTTTAATCTGCTTCACCGAGCTCAATGACTTCATCATTTGTTAAATATTTAAGCACCTCTCGACTGTGAGAGGCACAATTTTTTGGTATTTTTTTTTTTTTTGATTATTCCTTCTTAATCAGTGATGCGCATTTTACGTGAGTATCGCTGAAGTTATGTACGTACAAAATGTGTTGCGTGCTTTTGGGGTTGAGCAGTGAGTGTGTTCAGTGCGTTCTGTGTTGTGCTGTGTTGTAAGCAACGTTATTCATACTATGTACTGTTATGTTGCGAAATTGCATTAATTATTAATTTTATAAGTCTGCGAGAGTACGTTTATGATATACCAAATTACGTAAATAATGCATGCATGAACATGAAAGTGTATACGGAATTTTTTTATGCAACGTTACGTTTCCCTCTTGCAAAATTTTCCTGCACGTATTAGCAATTGCGTTGGTGATGCTAAAGTATTTTAATGTAAAATTCTCTTTATAGGACTTTGCGTAAACATAATATTGAAAAAGTTAAATTATAAGAGGAAGTATTAAAGTAAAACTGAGACAAAAGTAGGATATGTATTAGGCAGTCAACAAATAAAGCTATTAAAGCTTTATTTGTATTATCCTAAAGTGGAACTGACTCCTTAAAATTGAAAACAAAGTAGTTTCTTAGTATCCAATTATGATTTATTTTATTCCTCATAACGACAATCCATACAATTACTGAATATTGTTAACTTAAAATGGAACTGACATTTTTAAATTAAAAACAAAATTGTTTCTTAGAATGCAAACACGATTTTAGAGATCTTTTTTTTTTCTCAGAACGACAGCCCATTAAATCCTTATGAGTACTAAACAAGAATTTTCAATTATAATAGGCTTTTTCTTAAGTCAGCGTAGTAAACACTGAGACCCTTAAAAAAATCGGGTAGCACCGAAATCTAGATCCGATTGCTTGTGTAACCATATTTAGCGATCTAACACTTTCTGTAGAACACAATTCTAATACAATTCTGTAAAACTTTACTTTTACTTACATAAACTTTTGACCTCTTGGTATAAAGTCTTTGATCACATCTTCCCCACTAATTACTGGACTGAATTTTCCACATTGTGGTGGAAATCTACTCCGTTCATTCGTAAAATATCGTTTTAGTGGGTTAAGATCTTTGTAAAAGCTCCGACATACGATATATTTTTCTCTTCAATTCATGTGTCTTTGCATATCGCTTTGTATTTCGAGGTCACGGGATTTACCTTAAAGAAACCTTATGCCGTTGGCTTAATGTGGCTGGGCCTCTTACATTTATGTTATTATGTATACGGTTATTATAGATAATTTAAACTATTATTATTATTTATTTAATTTTAATCAAATTTTAAAGTGCAACTTAGGTATAACCATAATACAGCACTTTTATTATAGAGTGTGTGGTCTGTAATTGATACTGCTTTCATATCTATAATTTGAAATGTGTTCATCTGGAATATACTACAGAAGTTAGGTAGGCTTTTTAATGTTCCATGTTTTGAAATATACCAAAACATCTATGTGTTTTCTACTCTTCCACCACAATTGACTTTAGATAAAATATTTTAACAAGGACCCAGTTGACTATTTCTTTCTAAAACGTGAAAAGTTAATAAAATTGTGGTTGAATATCTGTTTCAAGATAATTTATCCATCCATCTAAGGTTGTAAATTTGCAGTAATTAGCTTAGTTCACTTATAGCTTCTTTCTTTAAACTCAGTCTAGGTATAGTAGCAGTTTCTAGAAATCATTTGATTTATTTGACCATTCATTTCTTAAATGAGAAATGTATTAAAATATTTGTTGGATAGCAGTTTTAAGCTGATTCATCCTTCTATGATCATAAATTATTTCTTTCTAGTAATCAAATTAGTTCACTAATAGTTTCTTTCTCTAAACACAGTCCATTTATAGTAGCATTTTCTATAAACCTTACCACATTTGATAAAATTTTTCTTCGGAATATCATTTTTAATTTTTTAAATAAAAAAAACCTATATATTTTTTAATTAAAACTAAAAAATATTTCTTAAGTTGTTTTTATAAAAAAAACTCTCATTAAAATAAAATACTCATAAAAATACTCGTTTGGAGCATATTTTTGATATTGAAAAATATTTCAACACTAAAAACTTAATATCTACAAATCCTTATAAAATTGAATATTAAAACATTTAAATTACTGAATAAATTGTATCATCAGTAAAAAAAAAAAATTCCATTGCAAAAGAAGCCATTTTAAAAATTAACAAAAAATTGAAGGCAACGAAGCAAAAAAAAAACCAATAAAAAAAATAAATGACAAACCAAAAGAAAAAAATATATATTTGTATATATATATATACATTAAGACCGAAAAGTTTTCGGAAATTCTCATTTAAAATTCGCGCGCTGTATATTTTTCGATATTTTAAGTTTATGTAGTTTGGCAGCACTGTCCTTAATTACTATGCCAAAAATGAGCGCGATCTGTCAGACAGTTCGTTTACGGCAGCTGTTGAAACCAGTTCACCTCAGTAGTGCGTTGCGAAAAAAACAATGGAAAAAAATATTGAACAAAGAGTTTGCATCAAATTTTGTGTTTCGAACGAAATTTCGTGTGCAGAATCGTTGCGAATGCTACAAAAGGCTTATGGGGAATCAGTTTTATCGAAAACTCAAGTTTATGAGTGGTACAAAGCCTTCCAGGACGGTCGTACGACCGTCGAAGACATTTCGCAACGCACTACTGAGGTGAACTGGTTTCAACAGCTGCCGTAAACGAACTGTCTGACAGATCGCGCTCATTTTTGGCATAGTAATTAAGGACAGTGCTGCCAAACTACATGAACTTAAAATATCGAAAAA